CAGGAAATGTCCAAGGCAACATATAGAAGATACACACAGAGTCATGAGGGTTAATTTACATTGGTCTTCCTTTCACAAGGTGTTCTCAGAATGCTCCTTTGAAATTCCTTTTTTCAGGATGTCCCTTTGATATTCCTTAGGAAGGAGCCCGAGTATGATAGTATATATAAAAGGATTATATATATATAAGGATTTAGCAATTATATAAAGATAACTAGTGTAATGTCTCCAAGGAATATTTATTGAAAGGTGTAAAGGCATATTCCTTCTCTACCTTTTAGCAAAGGTGTAATTTATTGAAAGGTGTAAAGGCATGTTCCTTCCCTACCTTTTAGCAAAGGTATGATAATGTAAATTAACCCTCATGACTCTTTGTGTATATATAAATACACAAATATATAGCACCATATTAGTGAAGATCCCTTGTGTATATATATATATGGTTATATTTCAAAATTGCAGTGAGAGGGATCTTCACAAGTTCAGTCCAGCTTTGGTTGTGTGTTTTTCAAATATTTCAATGAAATGTAAGTATTATGTTTGAAGTGCAAAAGAGGGTCTTTTGAAATTTCTACCTATATCAAGCATACTAATAACTCTGTGTATTGAGGATTACATCATTAAATGTTTGTAATTTTCATTTTGAAAATGCTACCAGTTTTCAAATAGCCCTTCTGTGTACATTTGGATATACTGTATGTTTTGGTGATACATGGTATAGGTAGAACACAGTAATTATGCAGGTAGCAGTACATCAGTCTTCCATACAAATTTAATGTATATTCTTCATTGGGTTCCATAAATGAAGAAGCTTTCTGGGGGTCTGCAGTATGGGATGAGACATGAAACACTAACGGCTGAAAGCCTTTGCCAGTTATAGGCGTGCAGCTGCAAACATGATGTAGAACAAAATGCAAGAAAGCATCACTTGAAAGACTAATGGATTTATTATATGATGCCTTTTTGTTGATTTTGCTGACAAGCAAACATGTAACTTCTCTGGTAGATGATGCAGAAGCTAATTATATCACATGCTTTCACACTGTCAACCGAAATGTTAGAAATAACCCGGTAGAGCTTCTGTGTGTGGGCTTCAGCACTTACTGAGGATTAGTGGCCTCGAATGCCCCATTTCTAACTGTACTGTATACTTAATTGATTGTAATGGCTTTTATGGTAAGGTCCATTTTATTTGATGTTAATGATTTTATGATTACATTTGATTTTATTTGTTTTCATTGTTCTACAAAGATTGTAAGCCACCTCAAGCACTACTCTGTAGTGGAAACATGGGGTATAAATGTAATAAATAAATAAACCCAGTGACTTTTCTGTAAACATGCAAAGCAACTGGTGCAGAATATTTTCTATACTGAGCCTTATGGAAGAAAACATCAACTCAGTAATTTATCAGCTTGGGTTGTTAAAGAAGAATGGAAGCCTTCTAGTTTCACAAAAGTCTAGGTTTTCCTTTCAAAATATTCTACAGCACTCCAAAACTTGATTTTGTCTAAGGGTTCTTCCAGGTGGAACATTTGTTCATTTTTCCATTTCTGCTGTTTGGTCCTGGAGGACTGTGCAATTTACTGGTGTTTGTGATCAGACAAAGCCACTTCTTCATTAAAAAGATACTTCTAAAAGTTCTGCAATAAATATTTTAAGAAAAATTAGAGATCTATTTTTTCTGCTGAAGCTATTGCTTTCATCCTTCCTTTAGTTTTGAATACTAACTGAAAGCTTCCAACTCCAAGCTTTTGCAGTAGAAAAATGCATTAAATAGAGTAAAGGCTCTATCTGGCAGAGTGCTAAATTGACCTTCAACTATTTTACATATAGACATAGTCTTTTATCTTGCAGTTGCATATTTCAAATTTTTTATTTATGTATTTATGTATTTATTTATGTATTTATGTATTTATTTATTTATGTATTTATGTATTTATTTACCGTGCATCTGGCCAAAGCTACTCTGGGTGATAAACTACTAAAACAAATTATCGAATCATAAAGGCAACTCAACTGAAAAAATAATCTAAACAATGGTCAAAAAATTAAAATACATTCAACAATACATGCTAAAATAGGTAGCTAAGACATTTAAATTAGAGGTAATCTGATAACATTGTCAGCTGTAGCTACAATTTAGGTGGGCTCCATAGATGGCATATTTTGAAATGCCTGCGAAAATAACCAGGTCTTCAGTTGTTTCTTAAAAATTCCCGATGGAGGGGCCAGGAAGATAGCAGATGTTAACTGATTCTGTAGCTGAGGGGTGGCTGCTGCGAAGGCCTGATTTCTTATTTCTTTTTCTTTGCAGGCCTCTATTG